GAATGGACATTTAATAGTGAAATTGATAATTGTGTTTTGTCAGATAGAGATAATAAGATCATTTATAAAGCTGATCAATATGAATAATATGATATAGAACATTCTATATCAATACCAAATAAAAACTCAGCTACCACTCGAGTAGATAAGACGGCTAATTGTACAAATTTCTGAACATTTGTACATGATCATACACGACATCTGCTAAATCTACTTTTAAGCTTACGTAGAGAAAAGAATAATAAATTTTAAATGACAATTACCTATGTTGAGTCAGATGAATGAAGGCTGACTGATTAGAAATCTAATCATGTATTGCTATATAACGAAAACTCTCAGCTGTTTATCATCGTTCTTTATATCTTATCTATATAAGTCATGTCAAGATTTTTTCCTAGTATTCGCTTATCCTGAATGAAGTTAAGTCTTGGAAAACAGATTTCAGATTTGCACTTATCACATTCTTATGATCTCGACAAACCTATTCGTAATTTGAAATGATGATTAGATGTGGGGAACGAGCTGTTGACTTCATTCGTGACTAATGCCTCAAATGGAAGAAGAAGAATTCGCTTCACAACTAAGCCATTGAAAAGCAATAAGTCGACCGCCTTAAAAAATATATCGGTAGAGAAGTGAGAGGTTCTATATTTTGTATTGATTAGTGTATGATGAATCAATAAATTATATTATTTGTCATATTTATGAGTTTCAGAAAATCGTGCTGAAATTCAATATTTTGATTTTTTACAACAATCAATTTTTGAACTTGTTTTTTTCGATTTATTAAATTTACTTAGTCTATAAAATCTGAACGAGCAACAAATCCAACCTTATATAAAACAATACTTTATTTTTATCAAGAACTTACTGTTACTAAAATATGTTAATTAAAAATATCTTTATAAACGACCTAAATCATTATTATATAAATATTATTTCACTTAATTCTTATATTGAATTTTCTAAGGAAATATAAATTATTTCTATTTCATGCAATAAATTTTCAACTAAATTCATCACTTGTATATATATATTTCTATGATTATCTTATTTTCAAATAACTTTTTTTTTTTCAAATAGAATTATAAAATTTTCGGAAAATAATTAAATTCTAATAAGAGAAATAATACTGATAAATGTTTTTATTTATGGAGAATTTAATATTCACAATATTCTATAAAGAATGTCATGAAATAGAAATTAATCTATTTTCATGTTAATTGATATTTCTATTTTCAAATTGATAAATAAATAAATAAATAGATATCGCTCTTTAACTCACTTGTTTCTTTTCTAGTGCGCCATTTGAAACCGATAATTACATAAGGAAAAATGCGATAGAAAGTAGCTTCATATATGTGATAGAGTAATGTAGAGAAAGGAAAACGACAATAAATGGTTATCTTCTATCCGGCTGTGTGTATGTGTATATGTGGACTGTTCTTGTAAGTCTATTATTTAGTTATGTTAATTGATTCTTTTTCTAAATAAGAAAAAGTAGTATTTTTTTTTTCTTCGTTAGATTTCTTTTTATTATCGTTTTTGATGACAAATTAGTTATATGAATGTGTCAAAGTTATATTAGAAATTGACTTTGGTTTTATCAAGCTATTTAGTGATAAAAACATCTTCCATAAAGTCAACTGATTCTTCTTCTTTTAATGTCGATTGATATCTCTGCAAGATCCAATTATAAAAATAAAAAAATATCATAACAAATCGTCATGTTTGTTAATTAGAAAAACAAGTAAAGGTTAAATAAGACAATGTAATCTATAGACAGAAATAAAAGAATAAGAAATACTAAAGAAAAATGTTTTTTCTCCTTGCCTAGTGTCTTATAAAAAAAAAAAAAAAAGAAACTTGTCTTATTTACTTTGATTGACAAGTTGATGATAGAATAAGATATAATAATAAAACCAAATGGTTGCTATCAGGATAAGCAATATGAGTGATAAAAATGTATGTTCATATACTTATGTTTTTATTCTCAATGACGACAAAGAAAAACAGGAAGATCATTGATATCATAAAATGTATGCTAGTAATAAAAGTGAATTATGTTTTCATCTTGTTCTTGCTCTATATCAAGTGAATGTGCTATATAGACACACCAGAAATATCTGTTTAAGGCATGTGAAAGAGAAAAAGATGGATAATTATGACCTATGTTTGCTTATGTCTTATACGTAATAAAACAAACTTGTGTCGTGACAAGAGATTTCATTAATTATTACCAAAAGAGTAGGACAAGATTCTTCTAGAATCAAAATATCTCCCTATAATACATCAAGTAGACTCAAAACATGTCTCTATAATACATCAAGTAGAATCAAAATATGTCACTATAATACATCAAGTAGGATCAAAATATGTCTCTATAATACATTAAGTAGAATCAAAATAAAGAAGTCATATTGTTTGAAAGAAAAATTTTATCTTATAATTGTTTGATATTCTTCAATCTTATACAAATGTTGATAGGGTGGCATTTATGTCATCATTTAATTAACTTTCATCATATTATCTGTCTAAAATCAAAGTATATTATACATTTCTATACTCTTTGATGCAGCAGCAATAATACATATTCAACAAAAATTGTTTTTTCCCCTTCTTCTATGATCTTTGAAATCTCTTCATCATATATGTAAACTAGAGAAATTTATAATAAAAAAAGAACGCTTTCATAGGACAACAGATCTATGATGAACAAGTCTTCACAACATAACTATGTTGTATTTTATCAATTTTTTTTTAAAATAATTTCAATTGATAAAATACAGTACGACAATAGTGAGACTCATGTTGATGCTAGCATTATTTAGATAAACCTATACTGGCTGGAATAGAAAATTCTTCCTTCACATGTTACTGTAGGGATTTAACTGGTGACAGATATACAAAATACATTTGAACTATACGAACAAAAAACATAGATAAAGATTTAAATAAATGACAAAATCAAATTTTTCAGATGGTCGAAATTCTAAATAAAGAATATGTGTGTTACATTAAATATTCTTAAATATGTTTCTATTGATCGAATTAATCGAAAAAAAGTTTTTCGCAAAACGGGTCAATGCTTAACTTAGAAGGGTAATACAATAATAGTTATTAAACAAGTGAAAAAGAAATAGACGAAGTTTAATGTCTCTCTAAGTCGACAAATGATAGATAGTATACTAACATGGTTAAAATTAGGAATCAATCAGAACAGCGTTAGAATCATTAGGATTTTCTCCAGCCGATTCCGATCTACATGATAACATCGAAGTGTATCAATATAAGTTATTCTTTATTTTTTTTTGACTCTATAAAAGGCGTATCTATCGTTTGATCACTAAAATTTCGAATCCATGATTTTCCGGCCAGAAAACTTTGGAAGCAAGAATCTAGTGGTTGCCTCTGTCTAGTTACTGTCGATTCCAACCGAAACTGGAATAATCTGATCATCGAATTTCTGCTTCCAAGTTTCGATAAACAAAAACAAAAGATAAAGTCTAGAGAAATTATTTTAAGATGATCTTATATGTTTCAGTGTTAAAATTTAATATAAATCTCATTTAATTGAATTTCAATAGTATATTGAAGAAGTTCAAAGATTTTTTATTAATCAAGCAAATATATTAAATCATCATTTTTTTTTCTTTAAAGGAATAGTTCGTCCTTTTTAAATTGCTTATTTTAAATTGACAACAGCCTGTACATTAGCAAAAATCTTTGTGGTTGATCAGTTATTCGTAGTACAATGACACCAATCGTTGGACGACTTAGTGAAGTTCGATTTAGTACTCAACTTGATCAGTCCAAAAATTTCAACGTAAAATTGAAAATTTTATTTTATTTCTATACAACAAATTCTTTTAGATCGATTGAAATACATCTACTTGTAACGATTTACAATTATAAGTCACTGTACGAAGACGTCGAGAACATAGTGATGATATACTTATAGATGATGATTCAAATGAACGAATTCAAGGATCAACAGGAATTAAATAAGATCCGATTAATTTCGATAATTATTTTGAAATATCAACTTTATAAAAATTTGACATATTTATTATGAATTTATTACATGAAGAAAGACAGTAATAGGAACGTTTTTTGTTAATTTCTTTGTCATTTTGTATAGATTTCAATAAAACAGAAACTAAACAAAAAAAAAGTTTTATAATGTTTATTTAAATCTTTAAGTACAATAAAAGCTCGTATACTGGATATTTAGTGATCCGATGGATTGGTTTTTGCTCAAATTGAATCGATCTATAATTGATAGTAGAGTTCGTCGCGTTCAAAAATTTTAAATTCGAATCTGTTGATGAAACTTTTCTAGATCCAATTGATTAAAGTTTTCAAACTAGAGCCAAGTGGGTAAAACTTTTTCCATACCAAGAACTAACCGAACAGACTCTATTTGGTGTCAAAATATTCCTCTATGGTGGATACTTTTCAAAAGTCCGACATCCACTACTGAGATGGTATATTAACTTGAGTTGAAATTTTTTTTACAGGCACTAGACACTATTTGTAGTGAATATCTTATGTTGTTTGAATAAAAAAGCCAAAATATCGAAAGTACTCTAAACTAGCTCATGTTGTTTTTTTGAACCGAGTTTTTTTTTTGTAAGAGCTACCAAAAATCAGCGGAACAATATTTTTTGAAACAAAAAAAAACATTCATCTCCAACAGTGTACAGTATATGTGAAAAAGTTTCAGAGAAAAATGTGAAACAATGTATTACAATTTTCGCTAATTTGATGTCTTCTTGAATTCTTTAGTGTTTAAAGACAATTTTTCAATTCTAAAAGATACTATTTCAGACTATACAATGATTATTTTTTTTCCTTCAAAATATACTATAGGTCGATTTTTCTGTGTATTTGTTTTTTAAAATAAAATCATCTTATTAAATCACTGTAAAACAAATATATTCTAAATATGAAATAAAAACAAAAACAAAGAATACGTTTTTTTTTTTTAATATTTTCAATCAAATTAATGATGTTGTTTTTAATTGTTGAATTATTCTTTGTCTTTCTAAAATACGTTTTGAAAAACGTTTTGCTGCTAATACAACTCGTATTATAAATTGTATTGATCGATATTTTTCATTAATATTACTTGATCGATTTTCATTATTATTTATACATAATAATGGATTATAATTATGTTGATATGTTTTTTCAAAAATATGTAATTGATTAAGTACAAGATTATGCATTCCATATGAAATTTGTCGATTAATATCAGATATTTGAACAAATATTCGACAAAATTTTTTAACACGATCAAATTTAAAATTATCATCAATCTTATGACGAAATTCATCATTATACATTTTATGTGCATACTAATTAAAAAGAAATCTTCTTTTTTTTTTTGTTTTTAAATAAAAATTATTAAAATAATCTAACTTACAAAATAATAATTTGATCGATCTGTTGGTATATCTGGCATATCACTAATAATTAATGCAATATAACCAGCAAGACCAAGAATAAGTTCAAGTGAATGATCAAATAAACAAATAATTGAACATAATTGTGAAATAGGATTTTTCTCATGTAAAAATTTTAAACAAAGTATAAGAACAGAACTAGCTAATAATGATGCATTAAAACAACTTGACCATGATTGTATACAAGCAACATGAATAAATAAATTTGCTAATGCACGAATCTTGAATAAATTTAAATTTTTCTTTTTTTTGGTTTCTTTATTAATAAAAGAAAAAAAAACAAACCTTGGAAATATTTAATTGAAAAGTTTCATTAGAATTTAATTCAAGATATAATTCGAGAAAATCAAATGCCAGAGGTAGCTGAACTTCAAAATTTAATTCATGATAGACTGTACGCACACAATCACTAATTTCACGTGGTTCAAATGCATTTGCTGAGTAACGTGAAAATTCTTCCATCTTAATATATATATAAAAGAAACTTTATTTACAATATAAAGTTTTAAACACATACTCTAATACGACTACGATTATGAAATTTAGCAGCAAGAATAAAAAAAGCCATTGATCTTAATTGATATGTTCGTTCGTTATGACCTTGTAATGTATCAATACCATCGATTAATCGAACAGCATGTTGAGTTACTTCAACTTTCATATTATTTTTACGCTAAAGGGAAATTTATAAAGAACAATCAACAAGATATCCTTATATATGCGTGTTTTTTTTTCTTTGCTTTACTTGAATACCAATTAGCCAATTAACAATTGAACAACGCCATGAAACACGAACTTCACGTCTTGTTAAATCTGGTAACACGAATGATGCTCCCCGGACAGTTGCTCCCGCGACAATTGCTCCCCAGACAATTGCTCTCCAGCGACAGCTGCTCCCGCGACATTTGCTCTCGTGACATTTGCTCCCCAAGGACAGTTGCTCCCCAAGGACAATTGCTCCCCGGACATTTGCTCTCCTATGACAATTGCTCCCTGGATAATTGCTCTCTAATGACATTTTCTCTCCTATGACGTTTACTCCCCGGACACCTGCTTTCAAATCACATTTGCTTCCCAATTTTACTTGGCCTTAAGCTACGGTTTTTGTTGTTGACGAGGGTGTGGATGGTTGTGGTGTAGATCTGGGTGTGGGGGTCAAGAAACCGAGCTCCACACGTAAACTCCAAATTTGGAGCTCACTTTTCTTATCAATCCTTCTGTTATGATTTATAGCACCACCTAGAATACTAGTAGCATTACCTTGGATGCTAGAGGCATTTCCTGGAATGCTGATTTCATTATCTGGGATGCTAGAGTCATCGCCTGTGATGCTACTAGCATGCCAGAAAATACTGCTAGCGTCGCATATAATGCCTCTGGCATCCAAGGAGATGCCTCTAATATGCCAGGTGATGGCTCTAACATCCCAGGCAATGCCTCTAGCATCCCACGTGATGGATCTAGTATCCCAAATAATGCTATTATCATCTCAGGCAATGCCTCTAGCATCCTAGGTGATGACTCTAGCATCACAGGCGATGCTCTAGCATCCCAAGTAATGTCTCTAGCGTCTCAAATGATGGCTCTAGCGTCACAGGCGATGCTATTAGTATCATAGGAAATGCAATTAGCATCCCAGAAAATGCTAATAGCATTCTAGGTGGTGCTATGAATCATAGCAGAGGGACTGAGAAGAAAAGTGAGCTCCAAATTTGGAGTTTACGCAATTTGGAGCTCACTTTTCTTCGCCGGTGTGGGAAAGGTGTGGGTGTGGATGTGAGTAAAAGAAAGACCTATATCTACACCCACACCCACACTCACATCCGCACCTACACCCTTTTGTGATAATCCCTTTGATAATCTAGAGTATTTTCCTATTTTATTTGTTCTATGTTCTTCATATATTTATAGATCCATGCTACCACCTTTTGAAATTCCAATAAAATTGCAGTAAACTTAGCTATGTATTTAAAATTAATTCGTGAATTTTCATGAATTTTAAATTCTGTACGAATTTCTAATCATCTCGTTCTTTTCATAATTTTACAAATTTTTAAGTCTTTAAAAATTATATTGAATTTGTCCACAAAAACACCGTAGCTTAAGGCCAAGTAAAATTGGGGAGCAAATGGGATTTGAAAGCAGGTGTCCGGGGAGCAAACGTCATAGGAGAAAATGTCATTAGAGAGCAATTATCCAGGAAGCAATTGTCATAGGAGAGCAAATGTCCGGGGAGCAATTGTCCTTGGGGAGCAACTGTCCTTGGGAAGCAAATGTCACGAGAGCAAATGTCGCGGGAGCAGCTGTCGCTGGAGAGCAATTGTCTGGGGAGCAATTGTCGCGGGAGCAACTGTCCGGGGAGCATCAGTCATGGATTCGTTAAATCTGTATTAAGCCATAGTACAGCATAATTATATGTATATAATGAATGAAATTCAGATATCTATTATTTTGAAATAGTCACATTGTATAAAACTTTGAAATAAAATTATTACTTACAAGAATATCAATTAGATGATCTAATAAATATATTTCTCGATGTAAACGAGTAAATACTTGTATAACATGTTCAATATGTGGAATATTTGTACTATAATAAGCATCTCTCCATGAATAAAGAAGATTATTACTAACTTCAGAGAAAATTAAAAAAAAAAAAACTTCAAAAAAAAAACAGGAAATATTTCAATAATAAATTTGTACGTGAAAAAACAGCAATTTTTATGCAATGTTTCGTAAGCCATGAACTAATATTTGCTATTATTTGTTCTTTTGTTAATTTATGCTAGCAAAAAAAAAAAACTAATAATCAATATTCATATTAAATCATTCATAGATTTTATACTTCTATAACCCAATTTGGCATACGTTGTTCAAGTGAAGTGGCCATTCGTTGCATTATTATCGATGATTTAGCAAATATAGTGTAGAAGTGAAATGAAGAGAAGAAAATGATATTGTTATATACATTCAAACATATCTTTTAAGAACGCACATCGCGTACGATGAATAATAATCTTACAGAAACGAAAGAACGTTCTAAATATTGTATACAATACGATATAAAGAATTCATTCATTTGATTTGCAATAGATTAAAATTCTATTTAAAAAAATATATATATTTCGAAAATTCATTATTTTATTTTTAATTTTAATCATTAATTATTATTGTTTATATGTGTAGATTTATCGAATATTACCAAAAATTAATTATTATAAATCTTTAGTATTCTGTTTTTGATAATATTTCATAGATTTTCAATAAAAATTTATTAACTAATTTATTTTATAGTTGATTTATTGAAAAATGTATAAACTTTTTGTCACTTATTTAAACATTAGTTAGTTAAAATAAATAACTTTTTTTTATATTGAGTATTTTATTTTCAAATAAAATAGTGTATAATGATCAGTTGGCTTTTAAGTATTTGCTGTAAATGATGTAAACTTAATAACCTTATACTTCACAGAAGAGAATATTTACTCAACAATAGATTATTTTTCTTTTGTAAGTTGAAGTAGTTGAATTGATTATAAATATTATTTTTAAAATGTAAGACTATTTTTAAGTATTATTTTTGGTTATCAGTACATTTATCGAAAATAATACTGTCTTATCATATTGAATGTTTGCTTGGTTTTATTAACATTTAATATCGAAAAAATAGTCAAGTTTTGTAGTAATGTTTACTTTATATATTGAAAACATGGAACCTTGTGAAAAGACACGTTAATCAATATTTATCCCAATCAATTGTTATTTAAAGAAATAATATTTCATCATAAAATTTATTTTATTGACATAAGATGTAAATTGTATAAGATCAAAATAAGTTTTTATTTATGCTTTTTTTTTCAGTTAAAATAAGTTGTGAAGAGATTTATTAAATATTGATATTTATTTCCTGCTTTTTTGATGAATTCATCAAAGAGTTTTTGTTTTTCTTGTTCGTTATAATGAATCATATCTTTAAATTTTCAATAGTCCTCTTTAGACTCACTTGATTCTTAATGTGTTTTACTACCCTCCAAATACGAATGTACCAATTGACTTTTATTCAGTATCGATCTTCTATTCATTATTTCTCAAAATCAATGTCAATCCGTCGAACAGTCTCTTTTTTTTCCCTCATCAAATAAGGTCAATAATGAAATATCATTACATCATGTATGTATATAAGAATGAACGATAAATGTATTTGACATCTCGATAGGTTAATGTGAATGCGTATAAACTCAAAATGATTTTAAAAAAAAAAAAAAAAGTAAAGCTTAATAAAGTAATCAATACTTGACAAAAGTGATATAGATTGTTAATACTCAAACATAAGATTAATGGTTTTTCTTTCTTTTAAATTTTCAATGATTTTAATCTAAAAAATCAGTCTTACAATAGTGTACACCAGCTGTAAGACGCTAAGAAAGAAAAACTAAAATTGATGACCTTGGACGTAGTCATTGTCAACCATGCATCGTTCTTTTTTTTTTTATATATGTGTAGTTAAATTTGTAAAATTTGTCTCTTGTATGATGACAATATGATTCATTCTTATCCAGTCGATTATTTTTACATAAGAACGAAAACTCTCTTCTTTCTTTCTTTCTTTCTTTCTTTCGTTTTATCGACACAAAACGAAAGAAAATAATAATAAGCCAGTTGCATTAAAAAAAAAAAAGAGAACGTGAATAGTAAGAATAAAGAACAACACAGTTAAGGTTCGATGAAAATTTCATATATCAATGTTACAACTGCACTTCACTGCTATTCTATCTTGACATAAGTATGTATATATATATACAAAACATTCTTCTGACAAATATAAAAGCGAACTGTAATTACTGTACATGGATATTTGATTTGCGACAAACGACCAATCTTCTATTAAGAATATTCAATAGTAAAATAATGTTAAGAAGAGCTCTAATAACGATAAATATCAAAAATTAAAAATGACATCATCTTTTGTATATTATTATCTTTCGTAAAGAATAATAAATGTATGATTGAGTAATTCACATTATTTTTTTTTTCTTTTTTATTTTAAATTGATACTGATTTTTATTTTCTTTATAGACTTATATCATTTATCTATATATATCAATATGATATTTATTATGTAATGATAATTATTGATAAAATAAAGAAGATTAATGTCTAAAAAACGAATGATAAACATTTTAATGCATGAAAAAAGTACTAAAAAAACCATACCTGATAAAAGATTAACTAAAAAACAAGAATCAATTAAAAACAAATTATCCAGTGGTATCATTATTGGTATTATTCTAATAATAATCACTATTATACTTCAATCTATTGCACTTTTTACACCACATTGGAAAGAAATAGCTCCAAATACACAATCATTATATGTTGATGGTGTAGATGCTCTTATACGTAAAGAAGTTCTACATTATTTTAATAGTGTACATCGTTATAGTCGTCATTCTTATGGTTTATTTCAACGATGTGAATATGTTTTAAATAATTCATCAATATATAATAATCAAAATGATTTAGATGATTTCGTTGTAAATAAACAACGAAATAAATGTACAAAAAATTTTTTACCTAGATATAATGATAATTATTTTAATGAATGTCATAGTTTACAATATTATCGATTTTGTACAAAAGCAAGTGTAAAAAATTTTGATATTAATAATGATTATCTTCATGCAACGTTTGATATATCAACTTCACCTATAAACGTTGATTCAAAAATGTCCTGTGATTGTCATTATCCACCTTATGTTTTAGTTTGTCAAATAATTGGAATATTAGCATTAATATGTTTACTTCTCACTTGTTTATTATTTATTTTATTTCCATTTTTTACTAATGTACATTATCGTCTTAAAATAAAATATTTTGGTATATTATCATCATTATTATCAATTGTTCTTTTAACAATTAATTTAATAATTATATATAAACATCTTGAATATGAATCAATTGCATATTTATTAGCTATTGAAAAACATTATAAATCAACTCAAATTTATAAATTATCTGAAGATACAAAAATTGCTATTGATCGATTTTTATCAACTATTAATGTTCGTATTGGTTATTCAACTATAATAGCATGGATTGCTTTTGGTTTATCAATTATTGATGGAATATTATTACTAACTACATGTCAAATTAAACATCATTATAATGAAAAAGAAACTTGTATTAGTTTAATGTCATCTCCTGAAAATGAACAACACTATGCAACACATCAATTTATATCCGTTCCAAATGATTCTCAAACTTTATCACCACCAATGTCTGTAAACAATAATCGTAATGAATTTACATCATTGCCTCCAATTTCACAACATGAAAAATATCCACCACAACCTAAATTCACTGAACATGAAGTCTAATTTAATATTTCTAAGAAAATCAATCTTGTATAATCGTCTAGTTTTTATCAAAATGATTGATATTGAAAGGAGAGAAAAAAAAAATTGAGAATCATGTATATTATTTTTAAATGGAAAAAAAAATATTTTTTAATATGGATGTTACAAACAAACAGAAAAAAAATGAAATGACTTTTTTTTTTTGATATTATTTTGAACATCCTTTTTTTTTTCTTCACAATGTGTCTCTGTGATTTTTCTTTTGTGTCGATTTTTTTTTATATTTTAATCAAATCGATAACGTTTATCAAAACGATATCGTTTGTTAATTCTATCCATATCCAAATGTTTTTTGTCAAAACGATAACGCTTATCAAAACGATACCGTTTGTTAATTAATAGTAAATGATCATCATTATTTTCATTATTGTCATCATCATTTGAATTTTTATTTTCATTTGATGTTGATGATTCTTTTTTATCAAGATGATATTGTTTGTTTAAATCCAGAGAATTTTTATTCGATTGTATTGTAGAAGGTTCAGTACAAACATATAATAGTTGACTGCCAATCTAAAGACAAATAAATTAGAAATATACGACAATAAACAATTTAATATTGTTTTTGTGCGGAAACTAATACAAAGGATGAAATGAAAGTGGCATAAAAGCATCCGTTATGTTAGTCGTTCTATTATTCATTGATGGCACAACTAGTTTAGAACACAAAAGAAGATATTAGACATTGTTTATTCATAGAAAAATTCACATAATGAAACAGAAATATATGCTCTATAGAAAAGTAGTAGACCGAAGACGAAGTGATTTTTCGTTTTAAGTATCATATATAAAATTGAATAAAGTTTTTTTGAACATCAAAAATAAATTCATTTTTACTTACGATAATAATGACGAATAAGAGAAAACTTTTATTGTATATGAGTTTCATTTGTTATTGAATAAATTATATTTTATATTATTATGTAAATTGTTATTATTCGAAAAGTAGTCGCCAATCGTCTACTCTACTATTTTCTTCTTTATATACTTGTATTCTCAATGCCAGACACTATGAAAGAAAAAAAAGTAGAGAAAAAAGAGAAATTATCAGTTCTATATCTTGGTTAGTTATTCACAATTCTCATTTTTAGGATTGCCTCCAAGTCCAAAGAAGAAAAAAAAAAAGAAAAAGAAGAAAGAAACTTCCGCTTATTCTATGAGCTAGTTTTTGTCATGAAAATGATGAAACAATTAATTGTTTAGTATTACAGTGACAGATCTTGCTTTAACATTGTCACATGATGTAGCTTCAATGTTTCTTTTTTGTTTTTTTTATATCAATTATCATAAAAAAAGAAAGACAAAAACAATATGAAATTCATCTAATCTATGATTTAAATCTAGTTAAGGAAAATAAAACTATCTAACACCATATACTAATTATTAATTGACTATTAATGATTATTTTTCTCTTTTTATACCACATATTTGCAAAATTGAATTGTTTTAATTAATAATGTTATAATCGGTTTAGTGACGTTTC